TCGAAGCTATTCATTAATGGTCAAAACGGCTCACATGTTCCTGTCATAACTTTTGATTAGCTATCTACTGATATTCATTTGGAACAGATACAATAAGCTGATCAGTATTCTGAATGTTAACCCACCCTCTATTTGTTCCGATTGAATGTCAGTAGATAGTAAATCGAAAGTTTATAAGGATATGTGAGCCGTTTTGACCAATATTGAATAGTTTCCACAAAAAAAAATCCTAAAATTGAAAAATCTTGTTTTTGAACACCCTATATATCTGTAATCATTCCCGCTAGACCCCAAGTGTGATGGATGCATTGATGGAATCAGCTCTTCTGGGAGAACCTAAAAATGCAATAGTATACAGGGTGTCCCATTTGGAAAAAAAACAATCATCAGTCAATATATCTTGGAATTCGAACACCCTACAGATATATATGAAAACAATTTAATGTGAAAGTTCTCATGAAACCCTATTACTGTTGTACTTGAATTTTCTCTATTTATCTGATGGTTTGGCTAATATACAAGGATAACACACTATTGACTCACCTTGTATTATGCAAATGATAATTTCTTCAAAATAATATGGATCTCATGATATTTGCAAAATTTCCCTCTATTTATAATAGGTTCAAATGAAAAACCAAATGAAAAACTTACATTCTATTATTTATAACTTATTCTGAAAAATTTCAATTTCCTTTTCAAAGAAATGTATTTCAGCTTCTTGTTGAGCACTACTAGAAGTTATTGCCTATTGATAGTTATATTTCTCTATGTTGTTTTTGATTTCTGAACTCTGGACATTCCTGATGCAGAATAATCAACTGGAAGTTGAAGCCTTCATGCAATATTTTATAGATTCTGAAGAAGCAAAACTATCTTGGAATGAAAATATCATCAGGTTTGTGTTTTGCATAACCTTCTGAAACAAACAATGTATTAATATTTCATGTCCAGTACTTACTATCAATGATATGATTTATGTAGTTATAGGTACCAACCATTATTGAATCTACTGAAAGTTCAAGTCTGCATATGTACAATCTTTCATAATTTCCAAAGAAGCCAAAATATCTTGGAATAAAATATCTCTGCTCTGATGATATAATCATTTTGTGTTATCAATAACCTCCTGAAACAAATAATGTACCTATTAATATTTCATGTTCCAGTCCCTACTATATCAATGATTTGATTTAGGTAGCTACCTTTATTGAATATACTGAAAGTGCAAACATGCATATGCAATCTCACATAGATTTCGAAGAAGCCAAAATATCTTGGAATGAAACATCTCTGCTCTGATGACATCATCAATCTTGTGTTCTCAATAACTTCATCTGAAACAAATAATTAACCTATTAACATTTCATGTCTAGTACCTACTATATCAATGATTTGATTCAGGTACCTACCTTTATTGAATTGATACTGAAAGTTCAAGCTTCCATACAATATTTTATAGATTCCGAAGAAGCAAAGCTATCTTGGAATAAAACATGTTTGCTATGATGATATCATCAAGTTTGTGTTCTCAATAACCTCCTGAAACAATAAATAATGTATATGAATGTATCAATATTTCATGTCCGGTACTATCAATGATTCTATTTAGTATTTACTCACCATTGTTTCTTGCTACCTGAGAGAAATGTCATCAACAGAGATTATCATCCTTTTGTTATTGTTATCTTTCAATTCTGTGCAATAAGTTCTTCTCGCAATCATTTTGTGAAATAAAAATTTGATGAAGGTATTCAATGAATACTCTAATAATTTTGATATAATCATTAATATATTATGATGTATCTTGAACAAATCATGACTATCATGAGACATAACCTCAATTCTAGTTCTTCTTTTTCTTCCTTTTGTCTTCGATGACACGTTATTTCATGAAATGTCATCTGAAGACGTCCGTAGGCACGAAATTCTTCACATCCTCAGGCTGTCACTGAAAGAACTCATTTAGGACAATTACAGCGCTAAATTTACGCCTGATGATGTTCTTAGGTTGTAGAAAATAGAACGTCCTCTCCAGGCGTTTGGCGACACATTGAGGATGACCTTAGGCGAGTGTGTGCTATCTGGGACGTTTCATGTGATTTTGATGTTTCTGATTCTTAAAATTCTGTCTTAGCTTCCATTTGCATTTTGCATAATCTGATGAATCTCACGTTAGAGAATTTTTTGAAACTTTTGATTCCCGATGTACCTCTTCATTAATATATTATGTTGATCTGGTTCTACTGGACTTTTTCCAGATTCAAAACCATATCTATTCACATTCAGGATTGATAATTTGAGCTTTCGACCTTGACTTTTGATAATGTTACTAAAAATTTTTTCTTCTGATATGTATCACTGAGGTTAGTATACCAAATTTTTTGACTGTCTTTTTGACTCCTTAATCATATTTTTTTTATATCTTTTGGGTACTTCAATACATAAATTCTGTGTCTGATGATGGCCTGTGGCCGAAACTAGTTAGACTTCTATTATTAAATATGTTTTCGTGGTCGACAGACTTTGAGACTTCATGCAATTGTTTTTCCTTAAGAAAATCAATTGGACCACTTTGAGAAATATGGATGATTTCCATGATTTGATACATGCTAGTCAAGCTTCATTCATCCTCAAGTATCAGGACAACATTTTATTATGGAGAAAGAAGAGTCTTCTCAAGATTTGGTTCTTACAGCAGTGTCTACGGTTCAACGTTCTACCCTAGATCAATTTCTCTTAGGACTAACATTGATTCACGGACTTCACATTACACTATGGTTGCAGCCAGAAGAATCTGGATACACCAGGAAATCAAATCACACTACAATAATTTTCATCACATCAATATTAAATCAAAATTCATTTTCTTCATTCTTACAGCTAAGATAACTTCAATAGAGTTTGATATTGTTGATAGGGACATGAGAGATTGGGTTGAGGAGACAGGTTAGATCTTATTCATTAATTTATCTAACAAATTACACATACTTCGTTTTAAACCTATGCAATCACAGAACATTGTTCCAACTTTTTCTGATCACAAATTTCATGACAGATTCTCAAATCTCAGCACTTCCACTTTCACTAAGAAAGAAACTGATTTATTACACTCTGGATTGAATTTCAACACTACTTCCTCAAATATCAAAAAGAACCTAGAGACTTCAGCAGTGGATGTAGAACAAATTATTACTTCCACCAGCATAGAGAACAAACCTTTACTTAGAGCACAAGCATGTACAACGTTCAACAATATCATATGACTAATTTTAACTTTTCTTCCCACACTGATCAAAATCATTATACCATAAGGGCAATAAAAAATAAACTCAGAAACAATGACCTTGTTCTGACAAAGGCTGATAAAGGGAATTGCATAGTAGTTCTTGACAAAACAGATAACAACTCAAAGGTAGAGGAATTTCTTGATTCTGACTATTTCAATTTGATAAGTATAGATCCAACCAAAAACTATTTCTTGAAATTGAAGAAAGAACTCAATATTAAATCAGACATACTGAAGTTTTTCAACAAATCGATTTTTCAATTATATCCAATGTGTCCTACTACACCCCTCTTGTATGGACTCCCTAAGATCCATAAACCGAATATCCCGATTCGTCCTGTGGTTTCATTCATCAATTCACCCTGTTCTAAACTAGCCTCTTTCCTCAATTATTTGCTCAGAGATCTTACTGCCTTTGACAATGCCTATTCTGTCAAGAATTCTGTAGACTTAGCACATAAAATTAAAAATGTCCCTATTCCAGTTAACTCAGGTTTTGTTTCTTTTGATGTAACCAACCTTTTTCCTAGTATTCCACCAGAAGATTGTATTGCTTCAGTGAGAAATCTTCTTTTTCAAAATAATATTGATACACACCATGTTCTTAATATTTGTGAATTACTAGATCTTGTTCTTAATCAGATTTTTTTTCCAATTCAACTATGAACTTTATCAACAAACAACAGGTTCAGCAATGGGTAGTAATCTATCCCCTTTGTTAGCCGAAATTTTCATGAATGATTTGGAAAAACAATTTTTGAATAATCCTCTTTTTAATTATGAATTAGTGTTTCATTACAGATATGTGAATGATTGCCTTCTACTCTTTGATGGCTTTCCCTCAGACGTGTCAAATTTCTTAGTTTTTATCAATACATCACATCTTAACATCAAATTCACTGTTGAAACAGAATATGACCTCAAACTACCTTTTCTTAGTAGATCTGATTACAAAAAACATTGATACTTCCAGATTAGATTTTTAAGTTTACAGAAAACCTACTGCCACAGATACTGTCATTCCCTATTATTCTAACCATCCTTATTTCCATAAATTTGCATCTTTCAACTGTTTCTTTCATAGAGCTTTTGCTTTGCCACTTTCTGATTCGGCTTTCAATATTGAAATTAATATTATAAAACAAATTGCTATCAATAATCAATTTCCTCTAGATCAAAAATGAAAATTTATTTTAAATTTCACATAAAATTTAGATCATCATTCGATGTTTTAACAGCACAGGAGAAGGAACTTCCATTGTTTAAATCTTTACATTATTTTGGCAGTTACTCTGTACAGGGTGATTTACTATGGATTTCTCGACTTCAACAGCTGATATCTCGAAAACGAAAAAAGATATTTGAAATTTGAAAGAAGTTACTTGAATGAGATGTCATTTCCTTCTAGAAAATGTGTTCTCTGCTTGATTTTAGCATTTCATATACAGGGTTTGTGAAAATAAATTCTTTTTTCAAATGGAACCCCCTGTATATTATCGCATATTTCGAAGGAGCTATATTTCCTGATTCCGAAAATATATACTCTTCATATATTCTATCGAGGGCTTGACGAAATATCAGCAAAATTAAATATTAATATTTGGTCCAAGTTAGCTATGGTTGAAATATAATGAGATGATGAATAAGTGAATTGACATTTGGTCAACATTCCAGTGACATAAGTGCGCAAAATTTCGACAATTTTTTCACGATGCCATATCCAATGGAACAAAGAAGAGATATTTTGGAGTGCTATTTTTCAGTTAATAAAAATCTTGCTGATACACTTCGTAAGTTTATGAGGAGTTATCCAGGCAGAAGATTACCAAGTAAGAATTATGTGAAGTATTTGCTGCTAAATTTGACAGAACTTCCAGTTTGTCGAATATCAAGAGTATAGTGAGAAGGCAAGACAACGAAGACGAGGAACTTCTTGTAATCCAGTATTTTGTTGAGGATCCTTCACGGTCAATAAGAAATGCAGTGTGAGAGTTTGGTTTCAGCTATTATTTTGTTCAACATACCTTAAAGAAATATAAATATAGGGATTTCAGAATTTGACCATGCCACAAACTCAATTATCATGATAATGAGAAGCGGATTGAATTTTGTCTCGTCATATCTGAAAGATTAAATATCTGTCCAAATGATATCGTCAAAATAGCTTAGTCTCATATTCAATCTTTCAGATATGACGAGACGAAATTCAATCCGCTTCTCATTATCATCATAATTGAGTTTGTGGCATGGTCAAATTCTGAAATCCCTCACCTCTGAGTTATCTTAACAATCTTCGTGATGATATGAAGGGTTTTTTTTAATTTATTTTTCATCTCTTGGTGTGCAGGAAAGGGAATTCCTATGATGTTCGTCACGTAGGTGTTGTTTGACATATTTCAAGGTTAACGACGAAAGGATGTGCTGACTGGGTTTGTCGAGGTCGTCTGATTGGTATTGCTTGTGATGGAATAATAGCAGAGATTCCTGAGGTATATTCTCCGTGGAATTATCTATCATTTTCCAATGATCCATTTTACTCGGGTTATTCATATCATATATCTATCACACGTCATCTGCCATACATCTGTTGTGCCTGAATGTCTGCTTGCATGTCTTCTCGATCTTCCATTTGACTCGAGTTATTTATATCATATATCTTCCAAACGTCATCTGCCAATCGTCTGTTGTACCTGAGCGTTTGCTTTCGGCGAGGTTAAAAGCATCGGGAGTACCATAAATGGCATACGGTATCTGTTATATATTTGCATAGAGGTATGTTCAATCTGATGTGCATGTAGCGTGTTCGGATGACTTTTAACATTTTTCAACGTATTCGTCGCGTTTCTGTGACGTTTTTGTAACGTTTCTACGATTCAGGTTTTTATTTCCATCTATTCATCCTGCATATGTCTTTTCGATATTTCATTCGACTCTGGCTACTTGTATCACCCTGTATATCATTATTTTAATTCTTTCATTATCATCTGTCATCTTCCTTACGCCATCTGCCTTACGACTGTTATACCTCATCATTTGCTTTCGGCTAGGTTAGAAGCACCGGAAGTATCAGCAAAAGTAGATGGTCTCTGATTGGTCGGCTGAGTCACGTTTCTTAACCCGGAAGGTGGAGGAGTAGGGATGGTCTATTGATATTGTCAGCAATCCGTTCCGTATATATTTTCATAAGAAAAAAGCGTTTGCTTTCGGTGAGGTTCAAAGCACCGGAAGTACACAAAAAGTATACGTCATCTATCAAACGTTATCTGTCATAATATGTCAATCTTGGATGATAGCACTATGAGTATAATGGAACAGTATACAGTATTATGAGAGCCGAACATGACCGTTTGATTTCAGTGAGGTTAAAATCACCAGGATATGAGCTATTGAACAAATTCGACAGGATGTTAGCATGAACCGCACTTTCAGACACACCCTGTATACCTCTGAAGTTTTTCCATTCTTGAATGGCTCGTGACGTCATCAGCCACCTGCTAACAATATGAGGTTTCAATATTGATGATATCTCTCAGCGAGAACAAAGGAGGCATTGTTGGATGACTCATCGGTCACCTGCGTCAGAACAACGGACCCATGGTTTTCTCGGAATTCCAGGAGAAGAGTAGTGGCTGATGGGCCTCGAGAGAACAAAGGCGGCATTGTTCTAGAGGAAGTCTAGATAACATATGGCGAACAAAGGAGGCATTGTTTTACGAAGTCGAGATAAGGATGACTCATTGAGCACCTGCAACATGCATATCGGGTGACCTTGAAACAAAGTGCTACCGATTGTAGTAATACCAACCTAAATCTGGTGAGCAAAGTCACTGGATTGTGACGTCATCCGTAACCTCCCAAAGAGAAGAAGAATGTCCTAGGACACACCCATGAGCTCTAGAGTCTAGAGTCCAGAGTCCAGAGTCTAGGGGGCTACAATCAGAGTACTTCCACGTGTCATCTGTCATTCGTTGTGTTCCACATCATCTATCACTTGTCATCAGTCACCTGGCATTTATCGCTTGTCATCTGTCACCCGCCGTCTGTCACCTGTTACTCTTTGTGTTCCATGCCATCTGTCACTCCTTGTGCTCTGTGTCATCTGTCACTTGGCATCTGTCACATCTTATGTTTCATGTCATCTGTCACGTGGCATCTGTCATGTGTCACTTCCGGCGGCCATCTTGTGACTTCACTTCCGTGCAGCTAACACCTTTTACCACAGGAACGGTTGTGACGTCACTTCCGGCGGCGGCCATCTTGTGTTGAGACGAAGGTAGGTTCACTACTTGATTTCGCTTCTGAATGCTCTTTATAATTACATGAATCATCTCGATGAAGCCATATCAATTCTGCATTCCTTTGTATATTACCCTATAGATGCAAAATGGGGAGTTAGTGTATATGCACATTCCAGAATTTTCGACAAAAACCAGCATTCTGTTTTCTGCTCGGAACATAGTGATTTGCATCATCTCTGAAAATATTGTTGTATATACTGAAACAATCAAGACATATCTTTATCGCACCTCGTATATTCAATATGAAGAATGAGAATGAATAACATTTTCTTGAGTAAACAACTCCAGTTCATTCAATTTCGTTATATCCCAACAAAAATAGATTATGTTTATTGAAAATGCATACATCCAGTATAAGTTTTTCGATATAAGAAATCACAAATCCTTTCCGAGGCCATTTTCCCGACTTCTTCATAACGATGTTACACTCCATTGTTTCATCAGTGACACAAAAAAAAATCATGTTTCGATCATTCAGTATTTCTCGTTTTACCTTGTATAGACTTCTTGTGAAGTTTCTGTGTGTCCTATCACATATTCGAAGGATATACATACAAGGTTCATTATTCGAACAGAAATCTGAACTTCCAATTTCATTCAATTCATCATTGAGAAGAGATATCAATCTCATTGAATATATTCAGAACACGATGATCAAAGCTGTAAATATTAGAATTCCGAGAATGTTTAGAGAGCAAAAATCTATCATCAGGATACAGGTCAGAAAAAAATCATCTGCTCGAACGGTAACGTGACGATCACATTGGGATATCTGGTGAAAAAACTAATTTTGATTCAGTAAGGAAACTCATTTCACTCTGAATCGAGGAAATATTTCCCACTACAAGGTTACTAATATTAACGAGTTCAGTTGTACTAAAGAATACGATAATGACTATGGAAGAGAACTTTCAACTCGATTGAATGCATTGTTATTCATGATATTGACGAATTTTATCAATTTTTCTTTTTGAATTCCACTATTTAGTATTTCACTAGATTCCCTTTTCTATCCAGATTCTCGTCTCAAATTGATAACGATAATTTTATTCCACAGGAAGGTCAACAGGACATCAATCCTCTCCTCCAGTAAATCCTGAAAACCGCTCAGATATCATGGAAAAATCTCTCAACTATACTTCATCGTCAGTAGTAGACTACAGCAATATGCCACTGTCATGCTATCATAAATTTGGTGAAGAGAGCAAATGTAGGAGCCCTCACAGTAACAAAAATTTCCTCACAGAAATTCCCGCACAGCTCTCACCTGGTGAACCAAATGATCTCTCGATGTCCAAAAAGGTCCTTGGAGTAGACGAATCCATGATGAACAAGACATATGCAATCGAAAAGAAGTTCCAAGATGAGAGGGGGTTCAAAGACAAGGAGTGATTCGATATTTTCGAGAATTCGACAACGAGAGAAGAAATACCTGGTACAAGATCACAACCATGAGGATAATCAAAATATTGATGTTAATTCACAAAACATTCACTTGCTAATTTGTAAATCTGTCATGAGTTTCAAATTTAGATGAATATCAATGAGAACCTATAGGAGTTGAAAGTACCATAAATTGTATAAATTTGAAGCTTCTAGGAAATTGAATAGGTGAAAATATTTAATGTATGTAGCAACAATTGTTTTCTACCTGCGAGAGAACCAAAATTGATTATCTCCAAACTGTTGTAGGTAACCTCGAACTCATCTTCTTCTCTATGGTGCTAAAGGGTCAGTTGATGAATCAAATCAACACCTGATCGAATGAACGTTGAAAAGATGTAGAATATTACTGTAGATTTTCTCGACAATATTTTTTCCAATACTAGATGATATATATATATCAGCTCATCAGGGGGCACAATTCATTTTTCAACGTAGGTCCTTGCCTCACATGTCTGACCTTCAAGAAAAGTCAGGTAAGTATCGTGAAAGGTTCAACAGAAATAAAAAACGAACAAACCATAATCTGCATAGTAAGCAAGAAACGAATACAATTAATATACTTTTTCTATACAACTTTAATACCAAAAACCTGAAGAATCTGGAGCAGAGATTGATGTCATCAGCTGCGATTGTAACGGAGTGAATACATGAAGAGCAGGTCACCATAATGTAGGTATTTTGTGCGAAACAGTAATTATTTATTTATTAATAATAATAATAATAATAATAGGCTTTATTCATCATTCTGTAGAAAAAAAGACATGTTATGAAACATAGAATAAATAATACATGAATGACGAATGGGCGAGGTTCAGCTGATGAAGCTGTTTTTAAACCTAACCTTCCAATACATATATTATATATATAGTATTGACAAACAAAGAAAAATAATATAATTCATGTACATATACTATAAAACTAAATATTCCAACATTAAAGAATTTATTTAATTTTTTAAATATTTATCAAATTTTGAATTCCGGAAACCACTGCAAACGTCATTGAATTATCATTGCCTTGTTCTGAACATAGCTTTTCAATCGTTTTTTGAAATTTTGTAAACTACAATCTTTGAAATCAATTGGCATACTGTTGTACAGTTTAGCAGCGTTATAAGAGAAACTTCGTGTATACATTGCGGTAGAATGTCTAGGAATCAGCAAGTAATGTTTATTTCGGGAAGTTGCATTTTGTGATAGTGGAACCAATTTCCTACGTAAATATGGTGGAGTTCTTGAATGCAAAATTTTATGCGTGAAGGTGAGGAGGTGCATTTCTCTTATCTGTTTCATTTTTAGCCAACCAGAATCCTCAAACGAGGTACTAATATGATCATACTTTCGTATCCCATATGAGAATCTAATACAACTATTTTGGATTTTTTGCAGCCGTGAAACATTCTGTTGTTGTAAAGCTGGTCCATTGGTTTTCACTTTCAGAGAGTATCGATTGACAATGGGTCACCGTATTTCGATAAATTGGAAACAAAATTGAGCTTGAGATTAATTTTATGGGATCGAATGTACAAGATGAATACAAAGTAAAACTAAGTAGTGACTACGTTGAACGAAATGAGGTCATTAATTTGGTAGGTGCCATCATACAGTGCATATTGAATCAGTTATTCGACATGATAGAATTCTGAAGTGACCATGCTCAAAAATGTTCAACGACAAATTGAGATCAAATGTATAATAATGCTCACTTCGATGCGATCGAATGAACAATATATATGGAATGTGAAATTCAGGAGTCAGTTGATTGAAAAAAATATGTTCAATGATTTGGTAGGTACCTAGTCATACAGTGAATATTGAATCAATTATTCAAATGAATTTGCTCATTTATTCCTGGCGGAATATATTTTTGGTCCCCTATCATTATATTCCATTGTTTCCAATTGCAAAGAAAACAAGATCAACATTCAGCTGATGTATTGTTTTTTTCCATCTCACATCAGTATTCTTTGTTGCAATTGGAATAGTTCAATAAGTCAATTCATCATGATTAAAAACAGAGTCACTTATAAAGCACAAATCACAGTTAGATTTCATCTCATCAATATTTTGGTGTCTATGTGAAAGAGTGTCCGGAGTGTTTTCACTATTCAAAACTTGAGGAGATGATCTCATACTTCCGATTTACTCCTTTTTCATCTCTAGGAGTGGAGGTATGCATACCTAACCCCACACAAGTCTCGACTTACTGGTCCCAGTGCTGGCACCAACGAGGTAATGCATTTGCAAAAAAAAAGTTATCTTCAATCTTCTGAACCATTTCGATATGCAACGGCATCAGTAGAATTATTATTTGTCTCTTGTCTGAATAGGTATATACATAGTGTGTCCATGAAGGAAACTCACATATCCCTCAGAACAAAACAATTTGATACCGATAAACTAACCTTAGTACAAAGTCGCTTTGTGTGAGCAGAAGGCGGCTCTGGAATCACAATTTTCTAATCGTCTCTGCTTCATGACTCCGAAACGGCTCATAAGATTTCACTCGAATGAGGTACGATGATATTTCTTTATTGACAATGACCATTATCATGATAAATATCATTCTATTGGCAGAGAACTTGATTCTTCAGTAAATAAACATCTCACACTTCTACGCCAATAGAAGGAAATGAGTTCGAATGTGGAATTTGGAATATAAATAGTACTTATTCACTACAAGGACGGTACTCTTGGAAATACTGTATGTTTCTCATGGTTTCGACAAAATTTGATATTCAGTGAATAAGAGCATCACTCAACATTAAAACAATCGACAGATATTTCAACAATGTTGATTTTGTTTGTACTGTATATTGATATATAAATCTTGAAGATTTCGATCGATTTCATTCTGGGGGTGTAGCTGTCATGGTCTCTTAAATAGTGTTTTCGTCCTTCAAAAACGAGCTCTGAGATTTGTATTCAAACTCAAGCCGCGTGACTCATGCAGGCCAATGTTTCACAAATATAAGATATTGACGGTCTTTGAAATTTTCGTTTTAGAAACAGTCTGTTTGCTTCACAAATATAGAAGAAATTTCATGAACACAAACATGGACAAGATTACGCGTAATAAAAGGAACCTTGCTCTTCCTCTGCCTAGTTCATCTTTAACGAGACAATCCTTAATTTATAGGAGTAAAAAGATTTACAATCATTTACCAGAATGTACAGCTATGACCAATGATTTGAAACAATTCCGTAGATCTGTCAAAGATATGTTAGTGGGAAAAGGCTTGTACAGTTTGGATGAATACTTTGCCTACAAATTCTAGTCTTTCTATGATATGTGAGAATAATTAGAGATTCATATCATTGATTTCAAAGATAATTGTTGTTTGTGATAATAATGAAACTTGTCTATGTTATTTTATTTTATATATTTTTGTTCTGTATTATTTTTATATATTCCTGTTCTGTTGTATTTATTTATAATCTTGCAATCGATATATCGCAAGATACTGACTTTGTCGACAAAATGTGCTCATTTAAGACAATAAAGCTTATCTATCTATCTATCTATCTATCTATCTCATTGCATATCTGTAAATCGTTTCAGTAAATCAGTGGAATCAAATTCTTGTCGAAACGATGAGAGCAATAAAATCAATAGTTTTTCTTTAGTTAACAAGTTACGCAATTGAAATTTTATATGATTTCTCATTCCATCTGCGTGATACCTCAAATGTCTGTTTACTGAAATAATCAAGTTTCACGTTCACGCTATAATATTATTATAATGATAGTGATTATAATTGGTTTCTTTGCCAATGAAGGTATACCAACGTACCAAGTTTTAGTCAAATCTCATGAGCTGTTGCTATGGAACGCCGTTCTTCCTTTCATGATATGACTCAATCATAAACTTTCAAAATGATTGGGCAAAATCATGTTACATTGGAATTTTATGCCAAAGATTTTGTTTTCATCAATCATGAAAATAGCAATCATTTCAATTCAGATGATAACTGTTTTGCTGAAATAAAATCATATAATTCATAGTTTGGTCAATATTTTCATGAAACCCTATCCTTCATTATGGAGGAAAGCCTATGAAATCATCAATAGAAATTTTGAATAATAATGATGATAATAATAATGAACCAGCTTCATTAACGGGATGGAAACAAATTCAATGTGCAACACTAATTTTGGCGAAGTTTAGCTAATAGGTACTCAAACTCAACCAAATCAGGTCACAGGATATAATACAATATATAATAATACATAACGATATTGTAGCATTTGAAATTGCTACAAAATCATTTCTAGTCATCGTTTGCATGAAAATTCAAGCGAATTTGCTTTAGTGCAACATTTGGAGTCGCAAGGAATCATTTTCATTTTTTTGTTTCATACATTACCATTTTGTAAATATTTACCTTTCAGATCTGGACAAGAAGTCATACTCACAGAGAACATTCAGTCTGATACTTGGTAAATAATCCTGAAGTACTTGAATGTAACTTTTAAGGAACTAGGTACTTCATCACACAGTTTTGAATAACAGCATAGAAATAATAACAGTCATGATTAGTAATGTCTTCTGAAATTCTATGTGCCGATGGGAGGTGATGATATGAGCTGCAGGAGTCTTTGATTCCTGGCGTTCTGATCCTAGAGGCCTAGAATTTGAAGAAATAGTTCAATGTTGTTGTCCCTTCCGAGAGTAAACAAACAATTCACCATTGTGTTCGCAGGTGTGATAAAGCCCATGTCGCTGGTTTATTCCAGGGATTGTTCAAGGTGATTTCCCGATCTGAAATGGTATTGTCGGTGTTGGAAGAATTATTTTCTTCATTTTCTGGAATTCATTTTAGGGTTATAATATTGTCATCCAAACGTCATTGTCAAGTATGTCACACATTCTTCTTTTTGTTCAGTAGTACTATGTCACAACATTGTAAGATTGTGCTTAAGTCCTACTCACTCAGAAGATGAGTGACATACTTGACGATGACGTTTGGATGACAATATTATAACCCTAAAATAAATTTCAGGAAATGAAGAAAATAATTCTTCCAACACCGAAAATACCATTTCAGATCGAAAAATGACCTTGAATAATCCCTGAAATAAACCAGCGACATGGGCTTTATCACACCTGCGAACACAATGGTATGTCGTTTGTTTACTCTCGGAAGGGACAACAACATTGAACTATTTCTTCAAATTCTAGGCCTCCAGGATCAGAACGCCAGAAATCAAAGACTCCTGCAGCTCATATCATCACCTCCCACCGGCACATAGAATTTCAGAAGACAT